CAGCGAAGGATCAGCCCATGGTATCTTTGCCAGCAAAAACGGAGCTTGGGAGGGCAGAGTGCTCTGTTTTCGCTGGCAGAGAGTTGCAGGAGGCCATCCTAGTCGAAAATGGAGCTCAGGAGCCTGTTTTAACTGGCAGAGCACTCGGGCCACCACAGATGCCCCCGACACAAGTGACGTCAAGCTGGCCACACCCACCTTGGCCATGCCCACCCCGGCCCCCTGAAGTCAAACACAACCCTGATGCATCCCTCAATTAAATCGAGTTTGACACTCCTGGTCTAAAACGATAAAATGTTAACCTGGATTGTGATGTCTGCCGAACTCGACATTTTTAAAGAAAAAAAGCATAGATTTTGAAGAAATGGTTCTTAGAGAATTTGATTCAGGGACTCATCCAATTCTTTTGGTTTGCAATTTTGTACACAGCTGGGATCAAAGATGGCTGAATGACATTTGAGGAGCTCACAAAAGGTAGCCCATATGTGAGTCAATGCAGGAAGCATAAGAAAAGAAAGCAATGCTGCCACTCAGTGGTCCTGTCGAGGAACTGCTGCCTGACCTGTTAAGGACAGTGAAATCTGCAGCCAAAGTCTTGGATAGAGAATAAACCAATCCTTCCATCTTAACTCATCCCTCCCAAAGCTTTTGAATTTCTGATTTTGGTGGGGGAGGGGGATCTATGTTTCTTTACCTGAAAGAATTCTGTATATCAGTATATCAGTTACTGTATATAATGCTGGCCCCCAAACCAATATTCATTTAAAAGAGCTAGAAAATTTAGTAAATTAAGGAGCTGCTAAGGAAAAAAAAATCCTTCTTCCAGGGCAGGATTAATTCCAAAGTACTAGTTCCAAACTCTTGCACAAGTTGAACAAGGGTGAACACCCAGTGTCTGTCTGTCTGTCTGTCTGTGTCTCTCTCTCCCTCTCCCTCCTTCAGTCCTAGGAAACAGGCAATGGCAAAGCACTTTTGAAATCTTGCCAAGAAAACTACAAGGGTTTATTCAGGCAGTTGCCAGGAGTCAACACTGACTCAAAGGCACACAAGCACACACACACAAAATTATGTGTAAATTTATTTCATGATGAAACAACAATAGGATAGGATAGGATAGGATAGGATAGGATAGGATAGGATAGGATAGGATAGGATAGGATAGAATAGAATAGAATAGAATAGAATAGAATAGAATAGAATAGAATAGCTTTATTGTCACTTTGAATGTACACTAATCGGCATATACATTAAAATGAAATTACGTTCATACAGCTCTCAAAGGGTCTCCGCCTCTAATATAAACATAAACATGACAAGATAAATAAATAAATACAAAATTATGCATGTACCCACATGTATTATATAACGCAGAGAAACATCAAGGTTCAGTTTTCATCTTTTGGTAGAACAAAAAATGATTGCTTGTAGCTTCAGGCAACCCTAGAAACCTAGCTGCATTTAATGGATCAGCCTGGTCCATTGCCCTGGGGTGCCTCTGGAAGTCCTCAAGCAAAATAGGGTAGCCTCTTAATACTTCCACCCAAAAACAACAACAACAACAAAAGAAGACACAGCTTTACTTAAAATGGGCATTTGCTAATTTATACATTCAAATGCAATTTTAGAAGGTCTGACAAATCCTTCAATGATTTCTGCACTAAATTATTCAGGAAGCTGCTTATAATTAGCTTTGAGAAGATAATAGAGAAATGTGATGATATTCATGCAACACAGTTATTCATGTTTATTTTAACTTCTGTTTGCTGAGTTAATCCAACTTGTAGGCTCACATGTCATACCAAACTATCCTCACAGCTTTGACTTATTAAAGCGTCTGCATATTCTTTTATCTTACATACGTTGGAAACTCTTCTTGGGTTTCTTCAGATTCCCAGCTAGTCCAGGCATCAGTTGCAGATGGATGGTTTCAGCCGCCTTCCTGCCTCATGGGTCTTTATCTTTCAGCTAGCCTTGACCTGGATAGACACCTGCTTCTGGCAGCCCTTTAGACAACTGAGGTTGTGATCTTACTCATCAGAAGGATAACATGGTGGGGAAAGATGAGATGGAGGATGCCCTCAAATGCAGGGCTTTCCTTTGTCAAGGAAGACACATGGGCCTCCGAAGCAGGGTGTCAAAGCAACCAGCCCAGCAACTGGTATTCAGGGATATTTGTGTCTCTTAACACTAAGGCTACAATTAGTCATTGTGACACATGGCTACTGAAAAACTGAAATGAATTCAATAGACCTGACCTCCCCTGGTTGGGACGATAAGATCCAAACATGAGATCCTGGAAGCTCCGGAGGATGGGTCCCTGAGGTCTGGCCTTCAGAAACAGAAGAGATAAAATTCAGCTGATGTATATTTCAGGGTTGGAGAAGGCCACAAAATGTGCAAAGCAACAGTGTCTTCTTTTGCTATTGTGTTCCTTCAGGAACATCATTCCTATTGTTCAGGATATTTAATACAATTAATACAATACAATGAAAGGTGCTGCTAAAAAATTGTGTGGAAAAGGAAAAGGAAAAGGAAACGGAACCCTCAGCTTCATAATTTAAAAACATACTTTTCCAAAGAAGTCATTATCCAAAGGAGAAAAATATTGCTTAAAACGATGTAACACAGAAGTTGAGGTAAATTTAATGGAATTAATAACATTGGTGCAAATTCATATGGAGGGGATGTCATGATAAGCAAGGAAATAAACTGGATCAGAGGTGGGTTTCAGCAGGTTCTGACCAGTTCTGGAGAACTGGTGTAAAAATTCTGACTGGCCCCGCCCCCATCTATTCTCTGCCTCCCAAGTCCCAGCTGATTGGGAGGAAATGGGGATTTTGCAATAACTTTCGCCTGGAGTGGGGTGGGAATGAAGATTTTACAGTATCCTTCCCCTGCCACGCCCACAGTGCCACACCCACAGAACTGGTAGTAAAAAATGTTGAAATCCACCACTGATCTGGATGTTAGAAATCTGGGTGTCTAAGCAAAGGTAGACAGATATTTCGATAAAGAATGGGCAATAGGTAAGCTGATCATAGGCTATAATACAAAGACTCTCGCCAGATAGTGGGAATCTCGCAAATAAACCTGAACCTTTTATTGAGAGCAGGATGTCACCCATAGAGTTAACAGAAAGAAATGAAATTTTGAGTGCAGGAAATATATACAATGTTGGATTCAGAGGAACATATCTAGGGACTTTGACTGAAACAAGCTTTGACCCAGAAAGACCAAGCCTGATAGAAGTAACTAGAAAAAAAGGAAATGAAGTAGTTAGCTTAGGAAAACAAGCTGAGGAAATAAACAGGAATCAGACATTTAAAGTGAAAGGTTAGCTGAGAGTGAAGGAAAAAGGAGGCAAGTGAGAGCGAAATTTCTCATGAATCACTCATAAAACAAAATGAGAGAAGGAAAGGATAATGCTGTCAAATTTGGTGAGCCAAGGAAGAAAATTCAGACAGAAAAAGGATTTAAGGGAGCTGGATAAGTGGCCAAGTTTCCACTGTGAGGAGAATCAATTCAATGTGCGGGACTTGAGACATCAGCAAGATTTTATATGTCAAGATGGTAGCCACAATGGAAGCCCTGCCCCTTTTAACATGCACCACTAGGCATGCCAGGGTCATGGTTAGTCCAAGAGACCGAGGACTAGCTTGATGTATGATTGCTGTCATGATTGGAAGAAGCAACGTTCTGACAATCCAGATTTGGATCAGGGTCAGGAGGGAGGGAGGGGAGAAACAAGAGGGATCAACTAGAGCCAAAAGAAAGGTAGAAGAAACAAGATGTTTGCAAGTCAACTAAAATGGACTTTTTGACATTTTAAAGCTAATGGGTTTTGAAAAGCACCCTCCCTGATTGTTGGGTGACAAAGAGTGAGAGAGACAGAAGGACTACATTTTCTTAGCGTGCGTCACAGGATTGGTTTTTTTCCCCCATAGCTTCTGCTCTGTAAGATAATTCTCATATTTATATAAATCATGTATATGATTTCAATAATTCAATAAATTCAATAAATAATAATAATAATAATAATAATAATAATGATGATGATGATGATGATGATGATGATGTAGGTCTGTGAGACTGTAAGAGTTCTGTTTTAGTACTTGCCTTAAACAGCCATCTTTCATTCTGAAAGCAAGAAATTAAAGTGTGTTATTTATTCATAATCAGAATGTCTTGAATCTTATTCAATCTGGGCAGGTGCCCTTTACTTCTGCTCCTGTTGGGGATAGGAAAGAGTAGGGACCCTCAGCTGTAGGACTTCCTTCTGAAGTAGAGTTTCTCAAACTCAGGATTAGCCTCAGTAGATACAATGGGCCTCCCTAAAATGCTGATATAAAGGGCATGGAAGAAGACACACAGAGAAGCAATTCTTCGCTTAGTTAAAACCTATTCTTTTTGTACAACAATTGTTTTAAGTCACAAATAAATAGGAAAGTATCACTCAATAGAAGATTAATAATTGCATTATCAGATAGAAAGTCAGGTAAAGGGCCTATGGAGAAAAACTTGACATACAGGAAATCAAGGCACTCTTACAGCTGAGATGACAAGCTGTCACATCTAAAAACTATCAGACACACAAAATAATATTCAGAGAATAAGCTCTTTGGACCATTCTTTTCAACCCTGTGTCCTCCAGCTATGTGGGAATATGTCCTCTGTTTTCTCCAGACTTTTAAATAAACAACTGCCACTAGACTGATGAGAGAGTTGTCTCTATCCCCCTAAAGCATCGTTTCTCAACCACAGCATGGTACTTTCCCCACTTCTTTTCAACATTTATATGTTGGGTGAGATCATCCGTCACCATGGGTTGAAGTATGCACAGTATGCTGATGACACCAAACTCTATATTTTCCATTCTTGGTGGTGACCACAGGTGGGTTTCAGCAGGTTCTGACCAGTTCTGGAGAATCGGTAGTGGAAATTTTGAGTAGTTCAGAGAACCGGTAGTAAAAATTCTGACTGGCCCCGCCCCCATCTATTTTCTGCTTCCCGAGTCCCAGCTGATCAGGAGGAAATGGGGATTTTGCAGTATCCTTCCCCTGGAGTTGGGTGGGAATGGAGATTTTACAGTATTCTTCCCCTGCCACCCAAACCATACCCACCAAGCCACTCCCACAGAACCGGTAGTAAAAAATTTTGAAACCCACCACTGGTGGTGACCCAAGTGATGATGCCCTCTCATGGTACCTGGAGGTATGGAGGCCTGGATGGGGGACAGCAGGCTTGAACTGAACCCTGGTAAGACCGAATGGCTTTGGCTACATGGGGTTCCAGGATCTAGGACTCTGTCATCTTTGACTCTGGATGAGATGACACTGCCCCAGAAAGAACCGGTTCACAACTTAGGGGTTCTCCTGGACTCGTGACTCCTATTTGAGGAATAGGTGGCAGTTGTGGCTAGGAGAGCCTTTGCACAACTTTGTGTGGTGCACCAGTCATGGCCATTCCTGGATCAGGATTCCCTGTACCCGGTCATTCAGTCTCTAGTCATCTCACAGTTGGACTATTATAATGCGTTAGAAGAGCATTCAGAAGCTACAGCTGGTGCAGAGTGCAGCAGTGCAAGCAGTTTGGGGGGGGGGACAACAATGGCCCCTGTAATACCACTGCTCTGTGAGCTGCATTGGTTGCTGGCCTACGTCCAGATGTAATTCAAGGTGTTGGTGATCACCTTTAAAGCCCTTTATGGCATGGGTCCAGGTTACTGTCTCACCCCACTGGAATTAGCCTGCCTCACTTGTGCCACCTTTTGTAAGGGCCTGAAGACATGACTCTGCCAGTTGGCTTGGGGTCCCAATGGGGGAACAGCACACTGGAGGTGGTTGATTGAGTAACAACAGATCCCACTTCCCTACTACTCCATCCCCGCCCTCCCCACCTATCCTTAGATTTTAATGTTTAGCTTTTATTTATTTCTGTTTTGATTTATATGATTAGATTAGATTTTTATGACTGTGAACGACCCAGAGTTACCCTATGGTGAATGGGCGGCCAATAAATGTTATAAATAAATAAAGCTGGCTTCGTAATTATGGGAGTTGAAGTCTACATATCTTCAAGCTGCCAAGATTGGGGGAAAATCTGTCCTAAGCTAAAAACCAACATTCCTATAGTTTGTAACAGGGCTGCAAATATCTCTTCCGTACAAATCCAATCAGCAACAAACACAGCGGGAGTTGTGGGAAGTAGTGGGAGGGAGTCTCATTTGAAAGTGTTTTCTGGAGGCCTAACAACTACCTGCAGGCAGTCCCTGGGATAACAGGCTTTTGCATAAGCCTGGCTATTGGTTTTACCTGCAGAGAGTCATTTAAGGAAACTGACTTTCCTTTTGATTTAAGGCAGATTTTAATGGAGACTGCAATATCTTGGGACTAGGAATCCATATCACCCTCACCCTCCTCGGAAATCGACAGTCGTTGCAGGGCAGCTTTTTCAGCCCAGAACTCTTCCCAAAGTACAATTTCATACAATGATCAACATTTATAATAGCCAAATATCTTGGGGCCATATCTATGATGCTACAATACCAACAGATCAAGATTGAGTCTTGAGTCTAAATTACCAATCATGACAGTGCTATTATGAAAGAAGACCAAGCATAATAAATTCTGGAAGGCTTCCCAGAAGGAAAAGCAGATGTAGGATCACCCTAAATTGTCACCGCAAACGTTTTTTATACAGGTACCGGTAAATATTCCTTGAGATCTTTAGTGTCTTGCAATATCCAGTGTGGCCACAGGATGTCTCCCTATCTTGCACAAAATACACACCCAGGTCCCTTTTAATAGATAATTAAAGATAGTGCTTGGAATTGTGCAGGAAGTGTTCTTACTTCAGTACAAAAAGCTTTAATTCTTTTTTAAAAAACTATTTATTATACATGTATAATAGTCTGAGGAGCCTCTGCTGAGAGTTATAGCTGCTTCCAGCAACCTTTTCCAATATTTGCTTTCCAAAAATATCAGATAAACAGGCTCCGATCATCCTTCTGGCAGAACAGAAATTAGGATGGTGCTGGATTGGGGGCAGATCAATATACAATATCAGAATTTTACAATAAAAAGGAGTTGTTCAGTTCAGTAAACTGGATCCATCAGTAGCAAAACTGGAGCAATTGCGCAGGTCATTGAAAGGAGGGGAGAACCGGAAGCAGAATCTGGGATAAAGACTTGACTGTAAGGTCCAATGTCATCTGCTCCTTCAGGAATAAAGGGCTTTCCTTCTTGTGCGGTGGCCTTTTGTATCCAGTCAAGGTAGCTGAAGACTGCAGTGTAGACCATGGGGCTTGCCTCTGGGTCACAGTTACCTCCCCAGCTTGCTATGCCAACCACAAACCATTTCATGTTGCTTCCAGAATCACAGAACAGGGGACTCCCACTGTCCACCTGGTGAAATGAAAGTACAGCTGAAATAGCCCAAATTCCTATGTAAAAGGCTTTGAAGGGTTCAAAACAATATGTTAATCGTGGACAATCGAATGTGTCTTTGTTATATTGATTGTTGCCACAACACCTCCTTTTTTATACCAATCTGTCAAAATTGTAACGAAACTTTACCTAAATCAAAAGTACATTCTCTCCCTACATATTCTAGTCTCCATTTTAATTTCCATGTTTTAGTTCTCCTGGCTTGGATTTTGGATTGTAAACACCAAAAGCATAATAAAAATGATTTAAAACATAGCTTAATCCTCCAACCACTGCCCTCCCCTTGCCTTCAAAATTTTCTTTAACTGTCAACTGCCTATTTCTATTAAACAACAATCAGATAATAATAACAATCTCCTGAAACTTCTGAATTCTTCCTCTCCCACACAAAATACACAAGATCTGTCTGTTGCAGCAAAGCCCTTGCTCCTGTTTTTGTTATTTAAAGGGCTAACAAACAAATCAAAGGATCACAAAGATATCAAAGAAGAAAGAGAAAAGAAGGGATGGGAAAAGCAGAAGAAACACAAGCAAAGAAAATAACGATGTGTCTTTTCTCTTTTTCTGAATATCTGGTCTCCAATATTGTGGGCTTGAATTTAATATATCCCTATGCACTAAGGCAGGGATTGGCAAACTTAAACACTCAAAGAGCCACAAAGGTCCTAACCAGAAGCCTCCGTTCAATTCTGGAGCCAACTGGAAGTCCGGTTCCCCCCTCATAGTCTCCTCCTAGTGAGGCATCCTTTTTCCTCTGCTGACCGGAAGTCTGGTTCCCCCACCATAGAGTCTCTCCCTAGCATGATGTCCTTTTTGCTCTGCTTGTCCTAACCAAAAGCCTTATCAATTGTGGAGCTGACCAGCAACAGGGAACCGCAGCAGAGGGATGAAAGAGCCACATGCGGCTCCAGAGCCGCGGGTTGCTGACCCCTGCACGAAGGAACAGTTTTAGCTTGATACTTTCCTAAAATATCTTCCCTAGGTGTTTGGAAGTTGAATAACAAAAAATGGGCATGAGTCTTTGTGCAAAATATATTGGGGTCTTCTAATAGCTCAAGATGAGATTAAATGTACCTCGCAGTTCTCCTCCATGTTTTCCTTAGAAACAGCACAGAAGACATTCCCGATTAACCCTTGGATCTCCTTGGAACATACGTCTCTGTCAATTAGAGTTACTTCTACCTTCATTAATATGTGGGTTAATTTCTCAGCATTATCTGCAGGCAAAAGGAAAGGGTGAAGGCCAAGTAACAGTTTAGAATCAACCAATAATGGGTAGAAATCTGCCACGCAGCATTTCACAGGACAGAATATATTAAGAAACATAACTGTCCTGTCACCATAAACAAGGAGCAGCCCTGCCAATTTCATGGAATTATGTCAGAGATGCCAGCTTTGCTCTCATGTGATAGAAAGGGATCCTGGTCTCATGTATTAAGGAAGGAAGGGAAGGAAGAATGCACAGCTTGAAGTGGGTGGGCAGCATGTTGTTGCTCTAATCCCCTTTTATATCATCCTTGCAGATCCATAAGACTGTGCTGCTGATTCAACCAGTCAAAGAGAATTTCCATTTTCTAGGGCAGGGTTTCTCAACCTTAAGATACATGGACCAACTCCCAAAATTCCCTCGCCAGCCTGCTAGTTGCTAGCTGGAGAATTCTGGGAGTTGAGCTCACACATCAAAGTTGCCAAGGTTGACAAATACTGTTCTAGAAAAAAAATACATTAACGGACTAGATTAGATTAACTCATCTGTAATGAGTTAGATTAGATAGTCATCTGTAAAAATCCTTGAAAACCCCTTAAAATTCAGCTCACTCTTGGGCCAGTTGAAAGTATAAATACATATACATGTATATAACTGTATCTTATACCAGTTTTCAAAGTAGAGATAGATTAGCCTAGATTTTCCTTTCATCTTCAAACTGATGTCCCACAGTCAGTGAAGAACCAAAACCGAAAAATGAACAGCTCTTTCAGTAAGATAACAATCCGAAACACACCTCCAAATTAATTATGAAATACTTACAGGAACAAAGGTAAAAGTTTTGAAAAGGCCTCCACAACCCCCAGATTAGAGACTTTATAAAAATTCCCTTACAATATTTCTAAAATGAAAGAGTTTGGTGCAGAAGGATGGGAAACTTTCCAAAACTAAGCAAGGAAGATTCTTAGCTGGCTCCAGGAAAACCTATTTTTTTTGCCAAAGGAAGGGTTCACGCTGCACCTGCCATACAGAGTTTTCTTATTCTGAATCTATAAACGATTGCCAATAAATAATATATATCCATCCACATTGATAGCAAAGCATCATTACGGTACTTTGCATGACATAGAGATTATATTAGCTTCTATTCATTTAGAGATTCATAGAAACATATATAATAATATCTAGGCCATTTATCCAATTAAGTGCAGTATTTGTTTGTTGGAGAAAGTCCGCCTTCCCTCCTCTATAAGCTCTCAAATGGCAGTTGGTCCCTATGTGGGCCAGTGTCTGATGAGGAGCCCCACAACAGTCACATTCAGGGGAGGGTTCTCTGCCCCACATTTATTCTATTCTTATTAATCAGTGCATTTTAATATGTAACCTATAATGTATATATAATTTTTTGAATTCCTCAAACCTTACAAAACCCTACATATTTCCATCATACCATAGTATCAATAAAGGAGAATATTTGTAGCTCACCATAGTATTATGTGATCTTTCTATATATATATTGACTGTTGTCCATGAGCTCTATGCTATAGGCTAAATAAATAAATCATAAAGGTAAAGGTTCCCCTCGCACATATGTGCTAGTTGTTCCTGACTCTAGGGGGCAGTGCTCATTTCCGTTACAAAGCCGAACAGCCACCGCTGTCCAAAGTTGTCTCCATGGTCATGTGGCCAGCATGACTAAATGCCAAAGGCGCACAGAATGCTGTTACCTTCCCACCAAAGGTGGTCCCTATTTTTCCACTTGCATTTTGTACATGCTTTCGAACTGCTAGGTTAGCAGAAGCTGGGACAAGTAACGGGCGCTCACCCCGTTACGCGGCACTAGGGATTTGAACTGCTGAACTGCCGACCTTTTGATTGACAAGCTCAGCATCTTAGCCACTGAGCCACCACATCCCTTTCAAATAAATCATAGAAACATACAATTTGACAAGGTGCCTAATCATTTGTACTGTACATAAATATATATGCATACCCTTATGTGCTGTACTTACACACACACACACACACACATACACACACACACACGCACACAGCTACAAAAATGGCCTGCCCTAATTAATAGCTGATTGAGGGAGTGGTATTAGGGAACTCTTCCCTTTAAACTTGTCTGCAACCTAAGTTGGGAAAGAGAAGAGAAGTTTGCTGCTACTTTACTCCTTTCCCTTTCCCTGGAACCAGAGATCCCACCAACTAGTGGTGGGTTTCTACTGGTTCGTCCCGGTTCGAGTGAACCGGTAGTGGCGGTGGCAGGATGCTCCGCCCACCTGCCTGGATGTCATCATGGACGCTCTGTGCATGTGCAGAAGTGCCGTGCATGAGCAAAGTGAGCGAGTGCATGCGCACGCTCACAGTTCCAAACTGGTAGCAATGGTAAGTGGAACCCACTACTGCCACCAACGTCTATTGTTAACCCTCACAGTAGCAATAGCAATAACCAATGTTTAAAGGCATTGGGGGGGGAAGGGGAGAGATTTTCAAGATTCTATTTCTAGATTGAATTCATTCAGGGAAGGGCCACTGTTCATGAAAACATTCCATTTCCGCTCTTGATTTTTCCTTTTGAAGCTGCTCATTCATCTTCCTGCTACTACAGACTGTATTTTTTTGTAAAGACTCTTTTTACCCCTCTTCCTCAAAAAGTTGACTCAAGGCTAACTAACTTGTTTTCAAGCCACATTAGAGTAAGAAGTAGGATGCAATTCTTCTTGCCCTTCCTTTGATTTGGTTTCAAATTTCATGGTTTTTGGCCATGAAAAAATGGAAGGCAGAATTAGAAAGTTTTTCTTATTGGAAAGGACAAAAAAAGAAAAAAAAAAGAACGGAAAACTTTTCCCCCAAAGCATAGTGCAGTGGGAGAAGTGAGGTCATCAGTAGCAAAAACTTAAAAATATCACCCCGTCTCCATTTCTCAAATTCCTCCCTAAATTGAGATTGTAAACAAACTGATAAATTTAGGGGAAAACCATTTGGCTCAGGCCTGGATTAGAAAATGCAGTACCAGCCATTATAGTCTTCCATGTGGCAACCCAGCAGTCTTGCCATATGCTGAGGTCCTGCAACAAGGGCAAGCAAATTGGTGTCGTTTTTTCACTGAAGTTGATGGGAGAATCCAATAAGATCAAAGCAATGTTGTTTCTCAGACTGGTACTGTTGAAGTCTTCATGGATGATCACCATGTCCAACTTCTTTTTCTCCGAAGGTTTCCCATGCAAGATGACCACTATGGGGAGATCTAAAGAACTTGGGAACAAAGATGGAGGCAATACATTACTGAAATGTATTCAGACCCTAAGAGCTGGCCTGATGAATCAAAAAATACCACAAGACATACTGTTCAGTTGGGCCAATGGTATATTTAATGCAAAATATTATAAAGGGTGAGTATATCTGTTGTTTTGAACCTATACATCAGCTACAAGTTCCCAACCCTTTTTTCAAAATCCCTTGAATTCCCACCTTGGAATGGCCTATGCCGTGATGGCGAACATATGGCACGTGTGCCACCTGTGAAGCCATATCTGTGGGCACACAAGCATTGCCCTAGCTTAGGTCCAGCACGCATGCACACGCCAGCCAGCTGATTTTTGGGCCTTCCGGGCCCACCGGAAGTTGGAAAATGAGCTGTTTCCAGCCTCCAGAGGGCCTCCAGGAGGGTGAGGAAGGCCATTTTTGCCCTCCCCAGGCTCCTAGAAAGCCTCTGGAGCCTGGGGAGGGCGAAAAACAGGTCTACCATGCCATCACGTGCCAAAAGCGGGGGCAACACAGGTGTGTGTGTGTGTGCATTAAATTATGGGTATGGGCACATGCACGAGCGACTCCCCGCACTCCCCCCGCTTTTGGAACGCGATGGCAAAAAGGTTAGCCATCACTGGCCATAGATTGGTGTACTTGGGACCTTGAACAGAGAAAAAGAGGTCAACCTAAATTGCTTCAAGCAACAAAGTAGAGCAGGCAGGATAATTTGAGCCTGCTGTAGAGGACTGATGGTGATAATATGAATAAGTGTTGTTGTTTTTTTAAATTATTTACCATGTGGGTGTTCCTGCTCAAAGCTCTATTCCTAATTCATTTTGCTAGTTCTGACTCTGCAGTCAGTTGGCATCCACATCTATTTAGCCTGCTTCAGTTCTCACTCAATTGTTGAGTCTGTGTGACTACTCCTTATTTTCCTGAATATGTTTGCACTTCCCTCAAATGTATTGACATCTTTCTTACATCTTCTCTGCAATACTCACAGGTCCTCCTTGAAGCAGTGAGCTGCAGACAGGATCCACCAGCTGCTCAGAATTGCTCCTCTGCAAATAACCTTGTCTTTGGTCCGAATGCTGACCTGCCAGGGTAGGGCTTCAGATGTCCTTGCTGTGGTTCCTTCTTTGATTCTTGGTACTGTCCAGGAAGTGGCTCTGAATTTGGAACTCAGGCCACATGAAGAAATCGGTACGGCAGGCAATATTCTTAATTCTGTTTTTAAAAAAGTGGAATTCATTCCTCTAAATTTGTGCCCATTTCCCAAATGTGAGAAAGTTAAGTGTAAGCTCATTGGAACTGTATGTCTTAGCCAGTCCTCTGTGATAATACAGTATGACGTGGACAGCTCCAAAATTATGGTTTTTCTTCTGGGATATATGGAATAAACACATTAAAAAGGGATTCCACCTACTTGTATAAGAGACAGTCATTGAGGAGACCAGAAACAGAAGTACAAGCAGCTGCATCTTGCCCTCTTTTTAAAGGGGTCCTCCACGTTTAAATTGAATGCTGAACAAAGAACTTCCTACAAATATCACCGTGTTAGCTCAGAAGAAATATATTTGCCTAGAAGAGGCATGACCCACATTTCCTCTGCCCCATGTGACCTCATGCACTACCTAAATCACCTGTGATGATATCATAATGGAATCCTGGGGTTTGCCTGGTATTTGCAAGTCCAACAACAAGGGGCTGAATATGTGTCCAAGTTTCTGGTTCTCAAATTTGAAAGGAACTGGGGGTTGGTTGGTTTTTTGAATGGTGAGAGGATCAAATGTGGCAGGCACCCAAGAAAAGACTGAGAGGTATCTTTGATCTTTAACATGAGTTCTATGGGTTACATTCCAAAAAGTAGAGGCTTGAAGACAGGGGTGTCAAACTCGTGGCGCCATGGCAGAATTACGTGACGTATCATGGCTTTTTCCCCACTTTGCTAAACTGGGTGTGGGCGTGGCCAGCGGGTGATGCATCCAGTCCACGGCCTGCGAGTTTGACAGCCCTACTCTAGGAGAAACAAGTGGGCAGAATCAATAGAAAAATTAATTTTGATTTCACTTATATTAGGTCATATGATTATAATTTGGCAACAATGTTTGGTGGATTTCTATATAAAACTTTTCAAAAAATGAAATAATAATTGAATTTAGGATTAATAGAAGTCTTTGATTTAGTTAAAAAGATAATGAGTTCAAATTATGTCAAATGAGTAAAAAATGTTTTGAATTACATTATGGAAACATTAGTAAAGCAAGAAATACTCGGTCAGTCCATGTAATTAGCTAAACAGCAGGGATAATTGACTGTCCCCAACCTGGATTGAACAAACTGGGTAGGAAAACAGGAAAACTAATTACTGTACATCATGCTATTTACCAAAGAAGTGACATTCACAGATTATACATATCCAGAAATAGTGCTAGTACAATATGACTCTGGTTGAAATCTGGAATATATTAAAAAAGAAACTGCAGGAACGATCATAGCAGTTCAAGAACAAATCCTGCAAAGAAATGCCAACAAAGCCAAAAAGGCCAGTGATATAAAATAAACTAGGAGATAATCTCATTAGTGGCTGTAATAAAACCATTGAACAGAGTGAATACACTCTGTTCCATGATATGCATTAAAATTATCCCCTGGGATTTATGTAGGAAATTTGGCTTTACTGTTTGTGGGAACTTGTGCCTAAAAAAGTTTTGAAAAAATAAAAATGTGAGATTTCAAAACTGATTCAAAAAAATTGATAGGAACTTAAAACATAATATACTATACATTTCTGTCATAGAAAAGCTAAAAGTTAAAGAGACCCATTTTAAATCATTCCTGACATTTACATTTACATACTGGGCATTTGTAATTCCTGTTCTAATCTTAAATTTCTGAACACTATGGTCTGTTTACCAACAGATTATCACATACTGATCTTTATCCACGTAATATACTTTGCACACAAGTCATGGGCATCTTTGAGATATCCCCCAGTCTTGTTTGATAGGCAATTTATCCTCCTTTCACTCAAAAGCATAGCTCTCTCAATGATATTGCAGAGATGCAACAGTGGCATATAATTAGGACTGTTTTTGTTGCCAATCATCACCCCCAAATATGATATCTCATTTGTCCTCAATGAAACTCAAGCTTTTTCCACTGCTGCTCTAGTTGCATTTTTACTTGCTTCACTACTCCCAGGTCCCTAATTAATTGGGGTGTGTGCATGCTTATGAGCTCTGCTATGAAGAATAAATGCTGAAGAGTGTTATGTAAAAATTGCTTGGCTCATTTCCAGGTTCCATTAATTAAGCAAGTGTTGGCAGAATTGACAGCCATCTATCCACACCAATCTCCAAGGGCAAACCAAATTCCTGGAGGATAAAGCTATCAATGGCTACTAGATCACAGGGATATTTTTCTCAGTACTCTCAAACTGCTCTCATATCCTGCTGGCAGTCTTCCCAATGATATCTGGTTGGCCAATATGGGAAGAAGAATTTTGGATTAAAGAGGCCTTTGATTTAATCCCACATGCTCTTTATGTTATTAACCTGCTCTACTGAACCTTAGATAATACAATTACTTCTCATATATCTGAGAGGGAGGGAGGGAGGGAAAGAGAGAAAGAGAGGGAGAGAAGGAGAGAGAGAGAGAGTGGGAGATTTGGTTATGCCAAATCTTGAGATTTGGTTATCTCAAGAAAAAGCACTTCTAAACAAATACACCGGAATGCCCTTTGACAGTGTAGAGAAACCCAGCTAGCACCAGAGTGATGTCAAAGAAGAAAGTGTGAAAGAAATCTACACCACTATTACAAAGGGTGGCATTTTCTTGAAAGCAATTGGGATGCCCAAAGGAAAAATCTGAGTGAGAAAGGCTGAGTCTATAACTCTCATTGAAAAGAGATAGGTATACACAGATATATTGTGATTTATATATTACAGCCAGGTATATTCTGGCTACAAATTATATTGTATTCATAAATGCCAATAATGAGGAAGAAAGGCTCACACTAGGGGAAAAAAAGCCTGGGTTTGTATGTTTTTTAAAAAGAAAATAGCAATTATAGGGTAAAATATAGATTGGAAGCTCTTGATATGAAGGAAAAGGTTTGACCTTCTCTCCACAAACTGTTTTCTGAATGAACCTGCAAATTATTGCTATTTGCCACAGTTGAGTTAACAAGCAAGCCACCCATCCCTTTGACATACATGAAGCAAAATGGCATGAAATGGATACTGACATTTTGCCATTCTCTTGCATCTCTTACTTAATTATTCAGATACTAACGAAGTTGCACACACACACACATACACACACACACACACACACACATGCGCGAACGAAACTTTTGCCAATATGTTACTCCTTTGAAGAGAAGGTCTCTAAACCTAGGCCAAAATATACACTTACAGTTGCTCTTTATTTAGAGAAATAATGCCAACTTTATTGCCAACTAGCAATAAAAAGTTAATAGGCTCCGTTTTTCCACACATTTTCTCTCAGGTCTCATTATTAAAGATGGAATACCTACAAAATAATCTCACCTCAGAAGGACTTAGTGACTTTATCTTGCTAGTTCAGTGAACTGATTAAAGTAACAAGTTGATCACAATGTGTTCGGTTAAGTTTTTTAAATGTCTATTTTCTGAAAATGTCCTCCATGCCCACCCATCCACTTTGTGGGTGATGGCCCATATTCTTGAAAAGTGTATAAAACATGCATTCATTGGTATAAGTTAAATAAAGTTACCACCAGAAAAATCAATAAAAAATTGAATTGTAGATCCAGTCTGGATATGGCATAAGTTCTATTGGTGGGATAAGCAATTATCACTAAAATATAAGAAGCAGAAAATAATAGTTTATTTCACAGAAAGTGCTTTGAGTTACCCTAATATCACTCCTATTTGCCTGTTCCACATAATGGAAGTAGTTAAACTGATCAGGAAACCATTATTGATAATTTGTTTCCTTTTACAATTCAAGTAGACTTCCTGGATTGCTGTGAACCAGAAGCCAAGGATAAAACTTGGTTCAAAATCCCATCTTATTAAGAAGATATTCTATTAGGGGTGAGAATGGTACCAAGGAGCTGTTGGCTATGTGCTAGTTGAAGGATGCCCATTTCTTCACTGATAAGGAAACAATCCTTGACACACTGATGTCATTTTTTTCCTTCTTTGATAAACAAAAATCAGGAAAACAAATCATAGGCAGAGTACAGACATATTCCTGGGGGATCTGAAATAGCTACCACAATTACAGTCACCTCTATAAACATTCTAGGAGCTGAGCACAAGCTGGATAGCTTTCAATTGCTAACAAATACTTTGGCATTCAAACCTCAGGAACTATCAGTGGGATGAGTAAATATGAATGTGTAGGCAGGTGTCCTGTAAGTTCAGTGAGGCATCAGTATCACTTTTATAAAGGCATTCTATGATGGATCTCAGAGTCTCCCTTCAGAACTCGCAATGTCTTTTGTCACAGTTCACTTGCTCCAGTCAGGATAATGTACCATCTCTTGATTTTCTTGGTACAATGAAAGATATAGAATATGAATAAAGAATATCTTGCCGAGAAGCATCTACTCAATGTTTTATTTGTATAAGGTAATTGATGGCTTTCAGGAAAATATGATTAATTTTTGTCACCTTGTGTGTCCAAAGGAATGATGAAATCTTTGATGTGACCATGTAATACCATCTTAAAGACCTATGAATCTGGTGGACAAAGATCAAACCTGCCCATCCAGCAGCAGAGACATGCTTCCTCTAGATCAGGAGTGTTAAACTCAAGGCCTATGGGGTGCTTAGATCTGGCTCAGGGGCCGCCCTGGAAACAGTGAAGGACCGGCCCATGGTGCCTCTGCCAGCAAAAACGGAGCTTGGGAGCCTGTTTTCGCAGGCAGAGCACTCGGACCACCACAGGCGCCCCCAACATAAGTGATGTCGAGCTGGCCATGCCCACCCTGGCCATGCCCACCCGAGCCCCCCGAGATCAAACACAACCCTGATGCAGCCCTCAATGAAATTGAGTTTGACACACCTGCTCTAGATTCAGGCTGAGGATGAGTGCCCCACAGCTTGAAGATGATCCGTGTCTCTTTTAATCTCAGAATCAACTTTTGGTGCAAGGCTTTAATTTTGTCCTTCATTCCACTTAAGATCTCATCTAGAGACCACTACAAGCAGCTTGGTCTCTTTGATGGTGTCTGATACTGGCAGCCATCATATGACACCTTTGCCTGAGAATTAGGCATTATCCAGACTTGCATCCACCATGAAAGTAGCAGACAACATGGATTGGGCATTGCTGGCTTTGAACCCCATTGCTCCGCAGATTGTAGCAAGCAAATGCTGTTTTTTCTGCCATAGTGCAATTATTATGGAACAAGCTCTTACTGGAATGAAGGCAGGCACCAGATAGTAAAAAGGATAGTACCTTTTTACTATCTGGGATTATTACACAGGTCTGCAATTATTACACTTCTCTACAAGTGTTATATATAGAAGGAGGACAGAGAGTGCCACCCAGATCCTTTTGGGAGTGGGAGGAAGGCAAGAAGACAAGTATCTGTTTGTAAGTTTGTACGTGGCTGATTATGGAGTTGAAATGCCAGATACTCTGTCTGAAGGGCACAAGATAAGGGCAACTATCAATAAAAGAACACAGCTATAATTTAAGCAAACCAGAATCTGTTTTTATCTGTTGATTTTATAATTAATGGTAACAGGCAGGCTCCATTGTTTGTTTGTTTGTTTTATTTAGGGAAAGGTTAGTAAGAAGCTGTAGCTCAAGTCACTCATTTTACCCTTTAACCTTATCCAGAATAGAAAAAATTACCCCAATTTTGGGAGGAGTTGGGGTTTTTAAAATGATGGGAGGCCTTATATCTCTGAAAGACTATGGTACTGAGTTTGTCTATTAACCTGCCTAAATATCAAAATTTAAAAGTCATTCCAAATCTACCTAGAGAAATTTGCAAATGGGGGATTGTAGCTGTATGCAGATTGGGGGTTGCCCTCTCCAGCACTAGAGTGGTATCTTTCACGCACCTGATATTCTCATTTGTCAATGGCTATGTTATATAGAGGGTCTTTCCCCACTGATGAGCTGAAGCGCTACTCAGCCATTCTTGAGGTGGCAAAAAATAATGCCAGATTGAATTTTGATGTTCCCATTGTCAAACTCTAACCTGCCTGTATTCTCAATCATTTCTGTCACTTGACTTCCCTTCAAGGTTACTGGTGACAAATCCCAATTGATTTTGTACCATTTTATATCTTGGATAGTGTTGAAATGGGGGAGGAGCAGCAGTATTTTAAATCTGGTAGGGATAGGAATTATTTAAGCTGTCTCACTTATGATTTGAAATAAGATGAATGTAACATCATGGGAGGGGACATGGCTGGCAAACGATGTTGCCAAATATGTTTATGCTGTGATTGGGAAGAAATGGAGTCAGGCCATGATTCTCTTTAAGGTACCAGAAGTCTCTCCGGTTTTCTCGCAGGAGGCAAATGCAGCAGCGCATCTGAAAATAAACTTATCCTATATTTGGTTTGGTTAGATCACATTAACATATAATGACTAAGGAGACAAATTATTCATTACCTCTGTACAAAGAGCACAAAGGTCAAGAAGCCAAAAGCAATGAATAGATCAGTAGCATTTCTAGGCAATACACAAATAAATACAATCTTAAGGCAGGCTGGGCAGGACCTGTTTGAAATGATGCTCCGACAGCATTACATTAAGCGACTACTATGAGAAATAAGTTTCCTGGTAGGAGAAAACCTCTCTTGATGCTTTGCTAAACCCAAAATCAAATGGTATCAAGATGTGCTAATGAATACAAACTCCAACAGCACTCTTCATCTTAAACAATGATGATTCTAAAGCTGTAATTTGTGATTGCTCCTTGGCAATGAACGCTGTTTTGCCAAAGAGATCCCACTCAGTAGAATACCCACACCCACACTAACCAATATTAGCCAGAAGCAAAGATAGCAGGAGTAAAGTACCAACATCATCATTATACCCGTTCTCCCTTTCATTTCCTTTTCACCAAGTGGCTGGGAAATTATAGATAGTGCTGGTTTCCTTGACAGTGAACAATAGAACAATTCAGAGGTATAATGCTCAACACAATACATTCTGTTACTATAGGAACCAGGCATTTCAAGTGGTAGGGCGATCCAAGAGGGAAGGCAGAGTTACACGTTAAGACCTTGCCAATGGCCGACACTGAAATGCATCATACGTTTTGCTGATTTCCATCACTGACCAACAGGATGAAAAGCAAATAGCTGGAAGTGGTTGTGTGAGTGTGGCTTAAAGGATGTGACCAGTTCACAATTTCACCATTTTCTTTGTTACAAGAGAGCATTTGGAAGAGAGATGCACCACAAAGATTGAGGCTACATATTTATGGCTTTGTGGAGACCTCCAGGAAGGAGTATCTGATCTAGAGTTACCAACCTGTCAACCAAAAGTCAAGTCCCAGACCTGGATTTCAAATACAAGATAATAGCATAACAGATAAACACAAAGAACCATTATCTATATTTGCAGCCCTTTTATTGTTATATATTTGATACAGTTTCCCTACTAATATAGACCAATTCTCAGGTCAACAGAATCTACTTTGCTTCTTCTGCATGTGATACATTCCCACTATTGAGAAACTGACTCTGTATGTGTGTGTTGGTGTAAGAGATTGCGACTGGTGAAAGAATTAGGGAACACCTTTTTAAACATGTTTGTATGAAACAAATATTTGGGGCACGAAAGAAATCTGTGAGTGGAAAACCTCCTAAAACTTCAAGCTTTCTTTTTACATTTCAGAATCAAGCTGAGAAATCAATTAAGAAACTTACTCAATATGTTCTCACATCCCTCACTTACTTTCAGCAAATACCCAATTTCTTGAATAATGTAATAGTTTTTAAGGGTAGTTATAGCTACATAATGTTCCCACTTGAAATTTATTTAGCAGTTGACTTCAAAAAGCATATATATAATGGTACCAAAACCTGGGGCAGAGCTATCAGGCTAATAGCTAGTTGTTAATATTGTAACTCTGGTGCTAATTTATAAAGTGAATTGCAAGATTGGATATTTTGAGTAAAGAAATGGGAGAGGTGTGGAGATGCTAACCCTGCCCTTGCCTCCTGTTTCTCAAATTCAATTCATTCCCAGGACATATTCCCCCCAATAATTTTGCTAATATTCTTTCTTGTTACTTAAACTTGACATGCATACATTTGCCTTAACTCTTCAGCTTATAGTATTAATGTAAAAAGTTATGTTAGCTTATATTATACAAAATCCCACCAAATCTTACCCACATGGCACTAATGGGATTCTGATGCATACATATTCAGCAAGATTATAAGTGTGCAAAATTGCAGCCTATATGTCACATATGACCATGACCACTTTTGCAAATCTGGCCAATGAACAGAGCCAAAAAATGAAAACTGTTCCCTCTCATTTTAGGGGTTGGGAGAGTGCTTAAGGAGTGAGATTTCCTTAACCTTAATCCTTGCAATAGTTTGTGCATTCATTTGTTTACAAAAAAAACCCACAAATCTTTTAAACACTGCACCAATGGATATTGTACAACTGGAGTTTAGCCCTCAACATGCCATAGAAAGACATTATGGCCTTCATGGCTTCAGAAATTGCATGTCTCTGATATAAACCATCATGGACTGGGCCACTTCAGATGTTCCTATATTTTTAAGAGTGATCCTTCACAGTTTTAGGAGGTTATTCATCTTCTGAAAAGGCAGGAATACTATGCTTAAGCAGAAAATCCTCCTCCACTATGCAGATTTTCTAAGTGTAATGAATTTATTTCTATTTAAAAATGTTTTTTTCCCCTATCTAAACTCAAAAGGATATAGTCCAAGGAAGATTGCACAATTAATTTTGCATTACTTGATACTATGCCTTTCCTTGAGAATATATGCCACTGATTTCATATTTGTGAAAACTACACTGAAGTCTGCGGTAAAAATCCAAAACACATTTCTTTAATTTTGACATGTGGTTTAGGGAATGATTGCCCTGTGAATAAGGATCATCATTTAATACCAATAGGACAGGAAACCCCTGTGCCTCTGAGTCCACAGTAACCATTAGGGTGCTTGCTTAGGTACTGCTGATGATATTCTTCAGCATAATAGAACTCTGGAGCCTCACGGATTTCAGTTGTGATGACCCCATGATTATTCTCGGTCAATGCCTGCCAAAGACAAAAGAAAGAAAGAGAAGGAAAGAATCTTATTAGGAATGTTTACAAGAAGACATATGATATGATTAATAACAGAACTTTGAACTTGATAAGAAAGAGAAAATATTTATCAGTTTAACGGAGAACATGCTTCCCTCTAAATCTAGGGTTAATGTGAACATGAGCAAATATAGCATGATGGGTAGAGAATTAATTTAGGAGTGGGCTACCCAAATTCAAATCCATACTTGTTAGAAGCTCCTGGATGACATTGGTCTACTCACTGTAGAAGGGGAGACGTGCCACTTTATAGTAGTCAAAAATCAGAGATTAGTTAATCTGAATAGATTCCTTCAAATTATAAATCTAATCAATATTCCTGAGCCCCGATTTTTGCAGGTGACTAGATACAATTGTAGAAATATGAATATTGTATATCTATAATTCTTTGGATAAAGGATTTAAAGACAACTATCTGTGATAGTTTTAGTTTACTATAGAAGAATTACAGGCCTTGCAGAGGTGTTGCAAAGAGACTTAAAATAAAATGTGGAGACTATCAGTATTAATACTTTCCTATTGCTTATAATAAAAAAATCACCCTCAGTAAAATATTTTCCTATGTTTCGGTTGAATGAAAACTAAAGCAATCATCTCCATAACTTTAGTTTAAATGGGGATATTTTAATAAATGAAATGGAAAAATAATCCTTGGAATGAACTCTCTTATTACCAGTATTTACTTTTCTACATTATTGTTACCATTCACTGCATACTTTTTACAATGGACAATTAAAGCAATCTGAAAGAATTCAACATTTTGTTTCTTCAGTCAGATCATGATAGTCATTTCCACCTTTTCATTTGCACGAAACAGATACCCATGGGGGTATTCCTTCAATTTGGAGAAAAGATAGAAGTTTCGCACAGCAAGTCCCCCTCAACTGAAGTGAGAGAGCATGCACTAAAGAAAATGTCAGAGCATTAATACATTAGTACTTTTGTCAATATACAACATTAAAGGAATTACTTTTCATTCAACCCGTTATGCCACTTTACAAAAACAAGAGATGGGGTGATAAGCACCCAAAGTTTTGAGATAATTAGAAAATTGGATGAATTCTGGATATATACAGTATATTTGCTTCCTCTAGAACAGGGGTGACAAACTCACATTGTCACGGCGGTGTCACGTGACATATCGGGACTTCCCCCCCTTCGCTAAAATGGGCGTGGCCAGCGCATGACATATCCAGCCTGCAGGCTGGGAGTTTTGACAGCCCTGCTCTAGAAGGAACAAAAAGAGATTCTGCTTGATCACGGAGTTGGACTAGAAGACCTCCAAAATTCCTTCCAATCCTGTTATTCTGTCAATTCTGTAATAATCTGATAACGGCTTTTATCATTAAGATGCACAAATATTAGGGAAACTTTTCCCAGATGGGCATCCTTGAGACATATAAACTTCAACTTTCAGATTCTCAGAACTGCCTACATTGGCAGCCTAGCTTTAATTTTGATACCAATTAAATGAGTTTGTACTTTTGATGCCAGATTTCAGTGGATTGGGAAAGTAGAATTTGCTTGAAGCTGGGTTGCACTCAAGCTTTTGAGTAATATCTAGAATAATACGATATGGTTTTGGAAAGTTCAAAATCTCTTCTTCTAGGGACCCATCATTTAAGATTGGAAATGCAATTTGGTCCAGCATCCCGATCCAACTGGCAGAAAAGATTCTGTCAGTTTATAATTTTCCTAACAGATAAAAGTCCACAAGTCCCCATGCTGCAGGATCAACTTTCAATCTTAGTTTGCAAATAGGTTCTTGGCATCGAATAAAATTGGGAATTTTATTAGATGCCAAGAACATATCAGAGCTAGCTGATTTCCATGCTCTTCCTCACAGGGATCTGCTAGCAAAACAATTACTAAAATATCAGCATTGGATTATGGTTTCCATGAGCCATTGAGAACTTCAGACAATTCTATTATGTACAAAATTAAAGTTCACATTATGCAACTTTTTTCAGCAATCAAAAATTAAGAAGAATCTATAGCACTTGAAGCAGAAATAGCGCCTTTAAACATCTAGGGTTCTTATTAAACTTGATGACAGAGAATTTATTTTAAAAATAATTTAAAAGAAAAATATCATGTTGAAAATTTTGCCATGGATAAGGTATATGGTTTTTAAATTAATTTAGCTATAAGGTAGCCATGGGGTACATGTGATGGTCTAATTCTCTATTGTACAATAATTTTTCCAGTTGTGTGTAGTTTCACTGGCATTCCATACTTCAGTTAAATTCCCTCCACTAAAAAAGGCAAAATCTTGAAATTCCTTCCGTTGGGAGTTTTTCAGCAGTCCTACAGTCACTTCTATAGGTCATCTTCTCCTTGAGAAATTGTTGAAGATTTCCTCTTTCTCCTACAGTCTGTCTGTCCTCCTAACCTGTCCAAGAATTAAGTTTCTGTTCTCCAAAGCACATCCAGGTGGACCTGTTCTGCTGTGACTTCTCCAAGAAGGGGTGGGAGTGCCTATGTCTGTCTGAGGAACATCACTGAGCTACTTGGGTCATTGGTCTTACTATCATGAAGCAGCTTTCTGTGTTCTTCACTGAAATGTGAGTTTGTGGGTGTATTCATATAAAAGTGCTGGATATACAATGTTTTTTTTGCATTTGTGCAGAGGGAATGTGCTTCAGCGACTGTTTAAGGGACATGTTCCCAGAATTCTGCTATCTTACAATTTTAAGATCTTCATCTGAACCTAATTTATCCTTCAATGCTTACAGGTACAGTGCCAGCCCTTTGAGAAGTTTTTTGCATTTTTTCAAGCAGCTTCATATGCACCCATAGTATACTGGAGGAAAGGAACAAAACCAGTAGAAGAGGGAGAGACAGGGAGAGAGAGAGATGTGAAGAATGCATTGTGCCTTTCCAAGAGAACTTGGCATCAGTAGCCTCTCTCATCCATGCTAGCTATGGAACAGCAATGACTTGGCAAGAGTCAAAGAAGCAGATGTCAGCCTCATCTGGTTGCCTCGACTCCAGTTGTTTGTTTAAAATGAACAGCAAAACCAAGCTAGCATGGGGGTCTTGGTGCCCGGGGAGAAAGGAAATGCACCAATCCCTTCTGGTCAGTTCTTTTTCCTCTGGCTTGAATGAATGTGATGTAGCCATGGAGAAAAAAAACCCACCAGGAATCAAAGCTTAAACAAAGAAGATTATGGTACTCTTGAATGCAAGCTTCTCAGAAGGTATCGGCACTTAGCCAACTTGTGATGGTATGTGGGAGACCTTGGTCTGACCTTGGGAGACACCCACACACCCACACACAAAAGACCTACAGCCGGGACAACAAAGGGAACAAAGTCCACAGATTAGGGAAAAGCATGGGAAACATTTCAGGAGAGATCCTGCCTAGTTTCCCTGGAAGTTAAAAAGACAGGATGGGAGAAATATTTTCAGTCTGGCAAGATTCTGTTTAATGGTTCCTTATAATAAAGTTAGTGCTGATGCCCCTGGTTGTGCTCCTTGTCTGGATGAGCACAATTTGACTGACCTCAAAAAAGGTAAGCAGAGTTAAATCTGGTTAATAGTTAAACGGAGGATCACTCCAGAAAATCTCAATGATATAAATTAAAGTGGAGGACTAGGGGAAAAAATCCTCCCAAAGGCAAAAGAAGCCACTTTTCACTTTGACCAGAAACTGCATGGGAACGCCAAAGGAATGGAGTTCAGCTTGAGAATCATTATGGTTATCTGATGGTATGAAGCAGATACGGTCTTTTAGCATATTCCAGAGCTGAGTTATTCACTCTCTGGAGGTGCTAATTGAAGCCTTAACTGGAGCCATTAGTTTAGATACCAGTGACTTCAAAGCAACAGGGTCATGAAAGAAAACCTGCTGTGAGGTATGAAACTGATAAAAGGGAAGCAAGGAGTTCAAGTTACACATATACTACAAAGCAAGAGAGGAATTCCATTTTTAGATAGCCCTGTGTATAACTGCTTCAGTTGACAGACACACAATGAACACTTCCCTTCCCTATGCATCCCATGTTATAACTGCTTCAATTTAAGCAAAGGAATAAAAGCTATTATTATTCTCTCCATTTCCGCACTTCGCAGAGCATGCACCTATCAAGACCAGATGAAAAATAATTTTCATCAACCCAATGGCCAGAGTTTCACTTGGTGGACTGCAATACAATTTAAAATATTAAAAGTACCAATACTAAAACTGTAAAAAGAAGCACAATGCATTTATAAATAATACAAAACAAAAGATGCAAATAAAAATTTACACAAGCCATTATTCCAAGTAAAATTAGGGACTAAAAATCGAAAATAGTTAGTTGGAAATAAGTACCATTTAACTGCAGAAAAAGATAAAGTACTTTTACAGGCAGGATTGTAGAATGATGGAAACATTTGTGTAGAGAGGACATATTCAGAATTGACTACTAAAAAGTGAGGTATGAAAAGTAATAGACCAGCTGTCAAGCAGAAAACACTACCAAATTGTTTGAAGCTGTATGAAAAGAGGTAGCTAAAGTATTAACAGTTCTGTGCCAAGAGGTAGCTATGGAACAAAACAGTGTGGCCTAGATATTAGGGAAAAAATGGTCTATATATTTGTGCAGAAGAAAAAAAGGTACAAGAGAACAGATAAATTACTAACGATTTGTGAATCATTATATAAACAACTTATTGAAGATCTTACAAAGAATAATGGAGAGAAAAATACTAAATGAATACATGTTCTGCCCCAGCTACGGACCCCAAAGAACACAGCACACACAAAGTCTGTATAAACCTTAGTTTACTAAATTAAATCAGTCTTTTTCAAACAAAGGCTGTTAATTAACTTTCTTAACAGCCTATAAGAATCCAAAGAATAAATAATCGTAATCTTACTATGGTTGGCAGAAAGCCCAGAAGCAATTTGCAGGAAGCTGATAAAAGAACTAAGATCAAGACGAAAGAGAGTGAACGAAGTTGTTCCC